AGATGATAGACAGCAGGTAGGTAGGGAGAGAGAGAGAGAGAGAGAGAGAGAGAGAGAGAGAGAGAGAGAGAGATACATTTCAGAATACTCCTTGGACTTCCAGGACTATGAATTCATTCTTCATCCCCAGATAGGCTCAGTGGAAGGCATCTGGGAACCCGCCACTGGGGAGGACACCTGCAGAGACAAAGTTCCTGTCCCTCCTGTCATGACCCTAGTCCTCTGCACACAAGGCTGCCCCCAGCTGGGCTGCACAGCATCCCCAAAGGTCTCCAAAGAAAATAAGTGGAGTCCTGTTTCTAGGGTCCTTTTCTAGGATGAATGGGCAAATGCCACAGACACTGGAAGGCAGAAGGTATGAGGATCAGAGAGAACTGGAGCAGAGGGAGGCCCTGATGTGGGGACAAGAGGTAGTGGAGTGCTAGCCCCTGTCACCTGGCTCCTGGTCACCCATGGGTCCCATCTACTGCTCACCACTGCCCCCTTTTCCATGCTGGTCATGGTCTCTAGAGTTTGTTCTGGGGCTGGGAGTGTTCCACATGCTGGGTTGAGAGAGAGCATTTCTGGGATGGAGGGCAAGGCCGAGTCGTCATGCATGTGTGTGCGCATGCAGCAGCCATGTGTGCTTCTGCCTGCACTGTGTGACTGCGTGAAAGCAAGAGAAATTTATTCTCACTGCTCTGGAAGCTGGAACTCAGAACCCAAGCTAGGAGCAGGGCTGTGCTGTTCTGATTAAATCTGCCTATTTCCAAAAAAAAGTCAAATTCTAGGTAGGCATGGATTCTGTGGGGACACTATTCCATCAACACAAAGCCCTGGGTGACCCTGCTTCACTTTACCCATGATGCTGACTTAATAGAATGTGCTAGCTTAATTCTTTTTTCATTCATCCTTTTATTTTTTAACATGTATGGTGCAGTTAAAGGTTGACCTTCCTACTCTTCAGTCACAAGATCATCCTATGCTTCTCTTACCAACTTTTTATTTTCCACCATTAGCTCTTTAATCCATCTTTATTCTCTTCTCGAATGTGGTATCATGAGAACTCCAGCTTTGTTATTATTTCTACAGAAATATGCTTTGTCTGACAGCATCCCCTACACAATTCCTCCTCTGCCCACCGATTTGTTCTGTGACCTTTCCTATCTATACATTTCTCTGTGCCAGAGGTCTCCATTCTGAACCACTGGCCCATTTCCCCAGGCATGTGGCCCCCAGCGCTTTATTTCCAAGGCTTTCAGGGAGCTCATAGTACCTAAGAAGACAATTCTCCCACCCATGCTCATTTCCCTCATTATTTTCAGGCTCAACTTTGTGATCTGCCAGGACCTTTATTCTGTCATGGACATCTCATAATAAGTGTGTCATTTTCTCCCAGGAAAACACTGCATTTTTAGTGAATTTACAGATCAACATGAGGGAAAAAATTAGCATCTTCCTTCTATTGTGCCTCAGTTGCATCCTTTTCTTTAAACCACCTGCCATGCTTTCTCTTTTTTTTTTTTATGCTTTCTCTCTATGAGGGTTTTAATCGAGGTTCGTGGAAGTCTTTTGTGCTGTGGGTTAAATTAACACTAGATGCTTATACTTGACAACCTGAATATCATTCCTCAATTATTTGCTTGATTATTTATATCTTCTTTAAGCTCTTTAATCATTTCACTAGTTCACTAAATCATCTGCCTACTAGTCTATTTTCATAACTCACCAAGCATTTCAAATATTAGTGGAATTTTATTCATTTGATGTTTGTCAAATAAACTTTCTGGGAGTTATGAAAAAAAACACTAGATGCTTGATTAATTTTCCTGCTACTTTGCATAGAATCTGAATTTATTTTACCTTTTTATTTTTAGGTAATTTTGAACTTACAAAAAAATCAAATATAATACAGTAAATTATAATTTTGCAAATATAATACAAAAAATTCTTGTAGTTCTTTCACCTAACTTCTATTCTTGGTAGCATCACACATAACCATTTTGCAATTATCAGGAAAACAACACTGGCACAAGACTTGTAAGCAAACCAGCTTACTTAAATTTTGTCAGGTTTTCTACTAATATTCTTTTTACATTCAAGAATATGATCCATTTCATTTAGTTGTTATTTCAGCTTTCCATTATCATTTATTATTAGTGTAAAACTAACATTTCTTTCTTTTTCCTTTTTTCTTATGATGCTGGGGATGGAACCCAGGACCTCATGCAGGCAAGGCAAGTACTCTACCTCTGAGCTATATTCCCAACTCTGCTTCAAAGAATTTCTTAATTCTCCTTTGCTCCCCAAACACTGTTAAAGAATGTTTAACAATCTTACATGACTCAACCATATTTGTGCTCAAATAAATGTGAATATATATTTCTTTTATGTCCTAACACCACGTCTTGTTTATTTTCATTTTGCAGTTTTTTGAGACATGATCTCCCAATGTAATTCAGACTAGCCTCAAACTCTCATCGAGCCAGGTGTGGTGGCACCTATCCACAATCCTAACACTCAGAAGGCTGAGGCAGGAGAATCGCAGGGAATTCCAGGCCAGCTTGAGCTACTTAAGACCAGCCTGGAACTGTGTAGCAAGACCATGTATCAAAAAAAAAAAAAAAAAAAACTTGCAATGACCCTTTTGTCTCAGCCTCCTAAGTACTGGAATTGCAAGCATGTGCCACCATACTGGACACAGTCTTTTTGGTTGTTTCATGTTCTTAAATAGTGCCTACTGATTTGTTTCTTGATATAGAGAAAAGAAGTGTGTACCTGTTTGTGTAAGTTTATGTGTTCTTAATATAAACTACATAAGCAGGGCTAGAGAGATAGCTCAGCAGTGTGTCTGCCTGGCAAGCGCAAAGACCTGGGTTCAATTCCCAGCACTGCATGCCATGCTGCCAAGCTGGCCACTGAAACTGGGCATGGTGGAGCATGTCTGTAATCCCAGTGCTGGGGAGGCTGACACAGAAGGCTCACTACAAGTCCAAGCTGCATAGTGAGATCCTGCACCAAATAAATACATAGATAAATAAGTAAACAGGGTCAGCCAGATAGCTCAGCAGATTAAAGTGCCTGCTTAGGCAGATGCAGAGGCCTGGGTTTGACACCACCTCCCCTCCCCCGACCCTTTTAAGCACCAGCCTGCCCCGGGGGCGCACTGAGAGGAGATTGAGACTGGGCAAGTTGGGAGGCTGAAAACAGGAGGATCAGTACGAGTCCAACCTGGATAGTGAGACCCTTTAGACCCTGTACTAAATACATAAAAATTAAATAAATAAGATTTTTTAAAAGATACATAATCATATATAAGCATTATACATGTAATATATATAAGCATATATGTATGTATAGCTATTTATATCTATATTTACTTACTTATAATACCTAAATTATTAAGATTCCAGACTTGGTTCCAAAAAAAAAAAAAAGTACCAGAAAAAAATGGATTAAATTTACCAATGAAATGATATATCTCTAGGTTGCTATACTATAAAAGAGTTTATTTCTGACCACCCATCTTTGTCTTCAATTCCGTAGGTGTTCGTTCCGGGTCCTCTAGTAAGTACATTATGAACACAGTTTTATTTAATCCTAAAAACTGTTAGGTTTTCAACAGTGCAGTAAAGAGTCAGGAAAGATGAGAAGGAGTTTTGTTTTTGTTGGTTTGTTTGTTTGTTTCCTACTCCAGGCTGCCTTAAGGGCAGGTCTGGTACAGCTTCGGGAGCTGGGAATCAAACCACAGTCCTATGTACCTGCCTGCGTTTACCCAAACGGCACTTTAAACAACTGAGCTATGTGGCAAAGCCCTGAGACAGGAAAGGTGAAAGAGGCCTTTATTGACTCTGAAGATACAGAAAAAATCTGAGGGAGATGGGAGATCCTCTGACCTGAAACAATGGAAGGCTGGAACTTTCATGGACTTTTACTAAGGGTGGAGTTTGAGGAGCAGGTTCAGCGACACCAAAGGAGCTCACTGGGGTCTCCCTTATGTGTGTGGGAAAAGGTACCCAGGACTGGGGTGAGACAGAAGGAGGAAGTGGTCATCAGAAAGATAAGCTGTTGTTTTGAGGCTTCAGCCATGTTAGATGAGCACCTTAATAATTCAGCAATTGATACTCAGGCTGGAACCTATCAAAAACCATCATCATCAGTGTGTCTTATCAACTTCCTTTTAGAAAAGAGAAAACTAAGAGTGAGGAAGAGTCAGGAACAATTCCAAGGTCACATAGCTCAGAAATGAACATTTAACTCTGGAATAGTTAACTAGAAATACTGAGATCCTACCACTGGGGTTTGAAAATAGTGACAACAAAAATAATTCTCAGCATTATTATTTACTGAGCTCTTACATCATGCCAGGAATGTAAGAGACATCATTGCTTAAACCTCGACACAGTGTCACCATTGGCTCCCTCTATCCATTGGTTCTATGAATTGGAAGTGTGTAAGCAGATACAGAGACCGGGATTTGATCCCCATGCCGTGCCAGCCCTGCTCCCCAGGACTCACTGATATGCGGTTGAGACTGGGCATGGTGGTGCACACCTGTAATACCAGCACTATGGAGGCTGAAAACAGGAAGATCACTATGAGTCCAATCCGTGTAATGAGACCCCGTAGACCCTGCACAAAATACATTAAAAAAGAAGTGTAGCCAGCCTATGATTCTTGTGCCTGTGCTGAACATGTGCAGACTTCCTTCTTGTCATTTTTCTCTAAGCAATACGGTAACACATCACCAGTATACTGTATTAGATGCTCAAAGTCATCCCAAGAGTAGAGTCCATGGGAGGATTTGCATAGCTTCTACATAAATACTGCACTATTTTGTATGGGAATTTGGACACTGGATTTCACACTCTCGGGGGCATCCAAGAACCAACCCATTGTTAATACAAAGGAACATCGCATAAATGGTTTTTCTATATGAACTAACAATACCTGACACAGGTAGAAGAGCCTCTTCCTGTCCTCCTACATACTGGTACTTCTCCTCTCTCTCCTTCAGGAAGTGTGGCCACCATGCTGGGGCTAAACCACACCTTTGATTCTGAGTTCATCCTCATCGGCTTCTCTGCCTTCCCCCACCTTCAGCTGATGTTCTTCTTGCTGTTCCTGTTCATGTACCTGTTCACCCTGCTGGGCAACCTGCTCATCATGGCCACCATCTGGAGCGAGCGCAGCCTGCACACACCCATGTACCTCTTCCTGTGTGCCCTCTCCATCTCTGAGATCTTCTACACCTTGGCCATCATCCCGCGCATGCTGGCAGACCTGCTCTCCACTCGGCACTCCATCGCCTATGCTGCATGTGCCAACCAAATGTTCTTCTCATTCACGTTCGGCTTCACCCACTCCTTCCTGCTCACCGTCATGGGCTATGACCGCTACGTGGCCATCTGCCACCCCCTGCGCTACAATGTGCTCATGAGCCCACATGGCTGTGCCTGCCTGGTGGCCTGGTCCTGGATTGGTGGGTCAGTCATGGGGATGGTGGTGACAACAGCCATTTTCCATCTCACCTTCTGTGGATCCAATAAGATTCATCATTTTGCTTGTCATGTGCCACCTCTGTTGAAGTTGGCCTGTGGAGAGAATGTACCAGTGGTGGCTCAGGCTGTGGGCCTGGTGTGCATCACAGCCCTACTGGGCTGCTGCCTCCTCATCCTCCTCTCCTATGCCTTCATTGTGTCTACCATCTTGAGGATCCCATCAGCTGAGGGTCGGCACAAGGCCTTCTCCACATGTGCATCCCACCTCACGGTGGTGGTTGTGCACTATGGCTTCGCCTCTGTCATCTACCTCAAGCCCAAGGGCCCGTATTCTCTGGACGGAGACACCTTGATGGGCATCACCTACACGGTCCTCACACCCTTCCTCAGCCCCATTATCTTCAGCCTCAGGAACAAGGAGCTGAAGGTGGCTATGAGGAAGACCTTCCTCAGCAAACTCTCCCTCCAGGACTCTTGAAAGGGTTGGCTTTCTGACAGGGATTGTGTTGAGAAGTTCACTCTTGTATCTTTCTCCCTCACTCTATCCTGTCTGTGTGTATGTATGTATGTCTCTCTGTCTCTGTCTCTGTGTCTCTCTGTCTTTCTGTGTTTCTCTGTGTCTCTCTCTGTTTCTGTCTCTGTCTCTGTCTCTCTCTCTGTCTCTCTCTGTTTCTGTCTCTGTCTCTGCCTGTCTGTCTGTCTCTCTCTCTCCTTTCCTCCCTCCCTCCCTCCCCCTCCTTCTTTCCTCATTCCTTTATATTTAGGCTTCCCAGCACTCCCAAACTTTTGAGTATTTACCATCAGTTTGGTAGTCTCTTTTGAACCTTTATTAAGATAAAATTCACCCATTTAAAGTCTTGTGCAATCTTCAGCAGTCAGTTTAGAACATCTTCATCACCTGCAAAAGAAACTCTGAACATTTCAATCACCTCTGCCCTTTTCCTGAGCCAATGGCAACCACAAACGTGCCCTCTGTTCCTACGGATTTGCATCTTGTGGACATTTTACATAAACAGAATCCTGTATCTGTCCTTTAGTGTCTGTGTTCTCCCACCCAGCATTGTGTTGTCAAGGTTGGTCCATGCTGTAGCCCATGTCAGTGCTTTATTCTATTCCATTCCACGGTTGCATACTGATCCATTGATTGCATAGGGCACTTGACAGAGGTGGACACTTGAGCAGTCTCTGCCTTTGGCTATTATGAAATATGCTGCTATACTCAGTCACATACAAGTGTTTTGTGGAGATATAGGTCTTCATATATTGCTCTATATACCTAAGAGTTGAGTTGAGGGGTCATCCCATAACTGTTCAAGCATTTGAGGACTTGCCTTAGTTGTTGCAAAGTAACCTTCCATATCATCTTCCCTCCAGAAGTATATGAGTGCTCTGGTTCCTCCACATCCTTGCCAATGCTTTTTTATTATAATCACCCTACTTGTATTTTATTATTAATATAAGTTAATTTTGTTGTTCTGGGGATGAAACCCAGTGGCCAGCACATGGGGAGCAAGTGCTGTACCACTCACTCCCCCAGCCTTACTGGATTTGGATTTGCATTTCCCATGTGATTATGGCAGGTCTTAAATGTTTAATGCATGAATTATTTTACTTTACAAGGAAGATAGGATTATTAGTTCCATTTTGAAGATGAAGAACCTGAGCTATAAAGAAATTAAGCAAGCCAAAAGCTTTCTCTGGCAGCTGCAGTTAGAATGGAGCCTGTTTTTGGAGCTGAGCTGGAGATCGTAAGCACACGTTTCTCAGGGTCCATGAGGAGAGGAAGCCAGTATGTCTCAGAAAGAAGAGACTTGGGAAAGAGACAAACTTGAGCTAGAACCAACAAAATCAGCCCAGAAGCTGGAGTAGCAAAGAAACATCCAGCATGAGAGAACTGGGGAGACACTATGAGCTCAGCCACACTGGCAGTGCTCTTTCTGTGATTTGTTTGTTTGCTTGTTTTGTTATTGTTTTCAGTACTGGGAATTGAACCTGAGGCTTATGCATGCCAGGCAAGTGATCTACCACAGATCTACATCTCCAGCCTTTTGAATTATTTTTCATTTTTGTGGCAAGCTCTTCATAAGTTTCCCAGGCTGGACTTGAATTCATGACCCTCCTGCCTCATTTTCCCCCTACCCAATATCAGGGACCACAGGCAAACAACACCATGCCAGGCCTCGGTGTGTGAAGAAGGTGCATTAATATGGAGAAAAGCATCATTTTAAAATATAGATTAAATATCCATAATCTAAAATCCCTGAGAGCAGCGGTGTTCATATTTCAGAGGTTTTCTTCAGGCCTTGGACTATGTAGACATACATAATGAGACAGCTTGGGGACTAGGAACCAAATCTGAACATGAAATTCATTTATGTTTTATGTGTACCTTACAGCTAATACATATGGACAGGAATTCCACGCAATATTTTGAATGCACCTGTGTTTCAGCTACCACAAATTACATGCAATCACATGGAATTTCTACTTGTGGTACAGTGGTGGAGCCCAGACAGTTTTAGATTTTATGGATGCTCAACCTGTATTGAATTATATCTAGAAAATAAAATTCCTGATCCCCAGAGCCAGCAAGATAGCTCAGTGACCTAAAGCACCTGCTTAGGCAAGCTTAAGCAGGCACAGGGGACCACAGTTCAATCACCAGAACCATGTGCCATGGCAGCCCTGCCATCCGGGTGGGCTGAGCCAGCCAAAAAAAAATTCCTGACCCCCAAGGTTGGGGTTGAAGAGCACTTGAGCAGCATGCATGAGGCTCTACTCTCAGTTACTCTAGCATTGAAAAACAAATTCCTGACCCTTTTTAAAGTCAGATTATTTGGTTCTATTAGAAGACTAGAGACCCCACCACAGGTACTGAGCAATGCTTGCAGGCATCCTTTTCCTTTCCTTTAAAATGTGGAGGAATAGCAGATGGTACCTCCCACAAGTGGGCACCGACAGGGAAGCTTCAAGTGGCTAGCACAAGTTCTTGGATACAGCTGTCGTGCATCATAGTTCTGGCGGCAATTTGGGATATAAGGAAGAACCGGATTGTGTGAATTTGAAAGAGTTGATGCAAAAATGGCTTCTAAGTTATCCCCCACAAGAGTCATTGCAGTTACTTGTAGTCATCAGAGGAAAAAAAAAAATCAAACTTGCTGTTGTTTAGGTGACCGCCAACAATGCATTGTGAAAATAATATAAACTGTATATTTTTGACTTAGTATTAATTGTTTTATAAATTTGAAACAACCAAAAGAGATGAACTTAGTGAATATCATTAGTCCTTAAAAGGGGCATATTCTAGACCCCTGAGTCAGGGAAACTTGGAGGACGCCAGCTCCTCTCTGTGTAAAATGTTATTTTGTTCAATGGTGGTTTTAAAATGAATTATAATTTTATATGTATCAAATTACCACCCCATACCCCATAAATATCTATAATTTAAAAATAAATATTTTGAATGGAAAATATGCATGAATATTATCTTTTCCTGAAGTCTTTGCAGACTCCTTAAATTGGACACTCAAGGCAATGGCCTCTCTTGCTTGCTCTTCAAAAGAAAAAAAAAATGTTCACCTTTCTTCTTCCTCCAAAGACCAAATTAAAAAAGAAGAAGAAGCTATCTAGTGACAAAATAAAGGTAAATGCAATAAATCAGGGTAAACATAGCTAGAGTCTTGGGGAGAAGGAGGTGACCCGTGGCCCACACACCTACTGCAGGAGTGGAGATGGCCCCGCCTCTGGCCACCAGCACTGGCCAGCATTTCCCTCGTCCAGGAGCCCTTCTCCATCCCATTCGTTAATCTTCTTCTCCTTTCTGAAGTCCCCCACCCTCTGCATCCCTTGCTAATGGCTCCCTCTACACCACATTCTTTGCTATCCCCAAGGCATAGCACAGAGAGGCGATTAGGGGCAGGTGCATGGAGACAGGTATTGACACAGACAGCCCAGTCCTCCAGGCAACTCCCTTCCTCCTTGAACTAATTGGAGATCAGCATTGCCATGGTAACTTCTATAAACCAAGTGGTCTTGAGAAAGAGGATGGTTGCCCTCACTCTGCCGGTCTTACCCTTCCTCCATGTTGACCCAACACCCGTGCTTGCTTGTGGCTAAATTTCCAGCCCCTTCTTCGGGGTTTCACTTTCTTGTCCAACTCCACAACCTGTTTCTGCTGGGCAGCCAGAGGGATCTATCTCTCTAAAGCAAAATGCTAAAAAATACACCTCTATTAAACTATCCCCTTCATAGTCTCCAGATGACATTATGTGAAATTTCTCGACCTCCTTGATTGCGTAAGCTGGTACCTTCTAATAACTATCTCTGCCTACAAATCTGTCACCTACCTATCACCTGTCTGTCTATATCTTGTTGGTTTTGTGTCTCCTGAGATTAATACCATCCATATCTTGATTATATCTCTAATACTTTTTTGTGTGCTTTCCACCAAGTATTGTGGGAACACCTCCAAGGCAAGACACAGAAGTGGACCTCTCTGTACTTCCAAAACAAGCACAGGTCATGACACATGGTCTAAATAGCTATTGCATCGATACTGAAAAGCCATCAATTTGGAGTATTTTCTGTATGCCAGACACTGTCAGCTGCTCTACATTAAAGTGCGACTTACATCTGAGAACCATCCTAAAAGGTTAAACCCATTTTAATGGTAGGAAGAAGAACATAAGAAATGAGAAGCAGTTGAAGTGAGACCAACATGTTTATTAAATATTTAACCACTGCACAGCCTACTCTAGTTCAACACTTGATGGAGTAGTGTACCTCCTGTCTCACTTCCTCTCAGCTGTTGTCATTGGGATGAGTCCCAGGAATCATCCCTAGGCATTTGGAAGATTTTTTTGAGATACAGTCTTGCTATATAGCCCAGTCTGGCCTTGAACTCATGATGTTTCTCCTGCCTCAGCCTCCCGAGTGCTGGGATTACAGGTGTGCACCACCATGTGACAAGCTTAATACTTGTTGATTGTATCATGCCAAAAATGAGGATCATCAGCTAGATAACTTTAAAGTAAAGGAAGCTCAGGGGACTGACTTTGAAAGAATTCTATGTGCCCAACAGTCCTGTGCAGAATGTAGCACATACTTTGGAGAACATCGCTGCAGTGTGTGCCATCTGCTTGACAAAGATAAGAAACAACAGCACTGTGAAAACTGATGTTGGTAGGATTGGTTCAAAGGGAGAATTTGTCCACTCTTTGAATATAACTTGTGCTGGGGAGACAGCTCAGTAGAATAAGCGCTTACCTGGCAAGCGCAAGGGCCTGAGTTCAATCCCCGGTTCAAAATAAGAAAAAAAGTAATAGTGAAATATAACTTGTGCTTAGCTATGAATCTTCAAGGAATGCAGAAATACATTGAAAATGTCTCTCAGCAGAATTGGCCGATGTGTTTGGAGACAATGATTGACATCCCATGTCATTTCTCATGTCTTACCATCTGGACATAGAACATGCTATG